GCCAAGATACTGTCAATCTTACACGGGAAAAGACCCGAATACGCTAAGACCTCCATACCTATACTCGTGAAAATCTACAAAAACAAATTTATATATATACACACACACACACTCACATTTTCTATAAGATAACGGTAAAGGTTCCCCTTGCACAAATGTGCTAGTCATTCCTGACTCTAGGTGGCAGTGCTCATCTTCATTTCAAAGCTGAAGAGCCAGAACTGTCTGAAGACCTCTCCATTGTCATGTGACCAGGTAGACTAAATCTGAATGTGCACGGAACACTATTACCTTCCCACCCAAGGTGGTTCCTATTTTTCTACTTGCATTTTTATGTGCTTTTGAACTGCTAGGTTGGCAGAAGCTGAGACAAGTAACGGGTGCTGACTCTGTTATGTGGTGCTAGGGATTCGAACCACCGAACTGCCAATCCTTTCTGATCAACAAGCTCAGCATCTTAGCCACTTAGCCACCACGTCCTTTTAATATATTTCTATAGTAGGGCTATTAGTTTAGAATGCTTTATGTTTTGCCAAAGTGTAAGTAAACAATGTGCTGTCCTAACAACTGTCTTATAATAATAATTGTAATTTAGGGAACACCTTGGACTTATCAGAAAATAAGCCAACATCCAAATGGGAAAAACTGCTGGGACCTGATTATAAAGTTATGGTATGTTATCCATATATCCTCATTAAATTACCGGGAATGAATTATTTACGTTTTCAAGAAATGAGACCTTAAATGAGAATGTTTACTTTTTGAGCAGAGGGTTAAACTTTTAACAGTAGTAAAAGCCTCAATAACTTTAAGAGGAATTCAGCTCCCAGAATTCCCTAGCCAGCAACACTGGTTTAGTACATAGGAAATAATTTAAATGAACTGAATTATAAAAGTGTGATCATTAATCCACATTGAGTCTAATCAATAATTAAACCTGTTTCTGCAGACTCGATTAGGGTTTACTTCTCTCAGGCTAACCTTTAAAAACTTTTGTCTTTTGCCTAACTATATTTCTAGTGCTTCAATCATTCACTTGTTCCAATAATGCATCTGCAATATATTTTAGTCAATTTCTTTTGAGTTTTCAAGTAGCTCTTTGTTATACCCATGAAGCCTTTCTGTTTTTATTTGATTTTTAGATTGTCACAATAGATACACCAATTGCAGATGATGCTGAACTACAGAAATATTCAAAGGTATTGAATCAATAGTAATGGACGTGAATCATGTGATATAAACATTTTTGACACTTTGCATATCTTACTGTTTTTGTGCTGCTGTTTTGTGGCCATGTGTTTATTCAAGAAAACTACTTAATTTTTACAACTACGGTATATTTTACAGCTTGGCTTGTTGAAATGCTTTGTAGACCTTCCCTGGGATATCCATGGTTTAGGATTAGCACTGAAAAGAAATGTTAATATGCCTAAGAAGAAACATTTTAAGAGATCTTCTGTAAATCAAACCTTGATTGTAAACAACATTAACTTACAGGGCTGCTGTATGCAGTAATAATTCTAAATTCCAGTCTTTACAGTATCTGTAGGCTAATCTATGTATTCAGCTCAACTTGGATCTTTCGACCAGCAGAAATACATTGTTGAAATTGAATTTTTTTTTTTAAATACCTGACAAGTTGGACTCCGAAACCAAGCTTCATTACTAATTTATCCCTTTGTTTACGTATTAATTGATGTACTTATTCTTTTAATTCAAGCCTTATTTAAACAATATTCTTTTCTCCCTGATTTGTTTAAGTATGTCAGACAGAAGATGGTAAGAAGTAATTATCAAATCTAAAAGTTTTATTCTTCTGAGAATTGTTTTTTGTCTGTATGATATTTGTCCATTTCTCTGTTGGTTAAATATCTCATAAAACATTCATAATCCCATTTTCATTGGTTTGTTATAAAACAGCTTATATTTTCCCAGTCAGATCCTAGTGATCATGACATATCCAAGCCATCCATACATCCCCCTTAGAGGGGGGTGTATGGTTGGGCATGGGCATAGTGCGTGTGGCCTAGTTAGCCTCCTGCACCACAGTAGGGAGCGTTTTTCATCCTCCCCAGGCTCCGGAGGCTTTCTTTGAACCTCTGGGAGGACAAAAACTGCTTCCCCGGGCTCCGGAGGCCTTCCAGAGACTGGAAACAGGCCTGTTTCCAGACTTGCAGAACCTCCAGTAGGCCTGTTTCCCCCCCCCCTTCCTGAGCCCCCTGCCCGGGGCCTCCACCACCTGGCATAATGAATGGGCTGCGTGGAGACTCCTGGTAGGAGCAGTGTGGGGTGGGCATGGCCAGCCAGGGGTGACATTTGGGGTTTTGCCAAACTGGGCAGAATCCTAGCTAGAGGATCGCCTGAACCGTGTGAACCCCCAGCAGCCCACCCCAGCTCCCCCTCTATTATTTTTTTATAAATGTAACAATCTGGATATCTAAGTGCTGTTGTCTAGACTGGCAATCAAAAGGAAACCAAGAACAAAAGAAAAACAGGAATAATTTTTTAAAAAGTAACGGCAAAAATGAAGACAATAGCACTTCTGTGACTCTTTACAGAAAACTGCATTGGTGCATTAGTAGGAATTGAGATGGACTTGAGGGCACTATCATCCCTTTACCAAAGAGTATTAAAATTAAAATAAATCAAAGTCAACTCATTACTAATTTAAAATAACATTCAGTTGATTCAAATGTTACAGAGCTACAGAATCTAATTCACGTTCTTTGTAAATGTTCTTCTGCAACTATATTTGTGATTTATTTTTAATAGCTGCTGCCTATTCACACATTAAGGCTCGGAGTTGAACTGGATACTTTTGAAGGACATCATTACATCTCTTCCATTGCTACAGATGGCCCAATTGCTAATCTTGGCTTACTGCAACTAGAGGACGAACTTTTAGAGGTACAATTTTAAAATAGTATGTTGTATGAAAAATACTGCATAATCTTTATAATCAACGCTGTATCATGGATTGTATGTTTGAAGTGCATTAATATGCCTTATAGGATATTACAATTTGCTAGAGAAATTACATATTCCCAAGATCTTAGCATTTGCAAGTTCAACATGTCTTTCCATTGGAAGTCTCCACCTCTGTATTAGGAGATATTTTTATGAGTATACAAAATATTGGATGAGATATTTGTTCCTGTTACTCATTCCAAATCTTCAATTACATCCAGAGCTTGTGATTTCAATTTCATTCCCCAATTGTTTTGCTTAATGTAACACAGAATTTTTGGCTTAAAACATTTCCAGTGTTAGCCTATAGCAATTATTTTAAACAGAAACACTAATAAGGGGTCTGGCTGACTGGCTGGCTCTCTTTTTCTGTGTGCAAATGGTGTATGTGTATGCCTTTAATTCAGAGGTGGTATTCTGCCGGTTCGCCCCGGTTCGGGTGAACTGGTAGTGGTGGCAGCAGGAGGTTCCGCCCACCCACATAGACGTCATCACGGACGCTCTGCACATGCGCAGAAGTGCTGCGCGCTCCCGGTTCTGAACCAGTAGCGAAGATAAGAGGATTTCATGCCTGATTTAATTCTAATTTAGTATCACTTGGCATTAGCTGGGCTGCCATTCTATGTCCCTAGAAGAAAATTATCAAGGTATCATAAAACAGCTGATATCTCTTCCTTTTGCATATGCTGAAATAGATTCAAACTTAGATGTCCCTTCTCAAATGGCCTGGAGATTTGTGTGGTTATTGCCCTACTTAGAGTCTGATCTCTGCAGAATATATAGATTGGAAGAACAATTTAATCTGCAACATGAAAAGAATTTCCATTCCCAAATACAATATACCTTGAAATCTACAGAAATATAATTTTCCTCTCATTGAAATCAATGGGGGAGAAATATTTTTAAAGTATTAAATTCCTCCCTCTAGTTCACAATGGAGATATAGCATAGCTTTGTTATTATAACATAGCATAGGATTTTTTATTCATTTCCATCCCCAACATACCTCCTTTGACATACCTGCTGTGGAAGTCCTGAAAGGTTTCTATCGTAACTATTCACTTAATTATAATCGTAATCAATCTAGCATTCTATTTATCCAAGTCACTGACTGATTTACATTACACAGCCCTTCTCTTGATATCATAATTTTAATGTGAGCAACAATAAGATTAGTAAAAAAAAATAGATTAGAATTCTGGGTAGATTAGTTTTATTCTACCAAAAGGATAAAAGGTTCTTATATTTTAGCTCCTGTGACTAGGACCTAAATAAAACCATATCATAGAAGAATATTTAGGGTACACCTCATATGTCCAAAGAGAGAAATGTACTGCTTTCTAATGAAACTTTACTGAACTGTGTCCATACTGAAGATCCACTTGTTTTTCAACTCACTCATGATTTCAATGGATGAACAAAAAGAAATTGTTAGATTAGTCTGGAAGCCTGGTGCCAAATCCTGACAACCCATTCTACTTCTCAAAATACTTATGCAAAATAAATGTTGTTCTGAAAAATATAGTTGTCTCAATGCCTTTCTGCAATATACCATGTTATATGGAATAATTCCAAAATGTGACAGAATTTACAAGCATATTGTACAAGTTTCTGAAAACTGAAGCTATTAACTACTGATGATTAGTGCTTACAAGATGCAGCCTTTGAGACAGATTTTCCCCCCTTCTATTCAACTTTGTATAAATTCATGGAGACTGTTTGGACAAATCCCTGTAGTTTTCTCAGAAACTACAAGGATTTGTTTTTCAGAAACGATTTGCTATTGCCTCCTTCCTAGGGCTGAGAGAAAGTGATTGGCACCAGATAACCCAGCTGGCTTTGTCCTTTAAAGCAGGACTAGAACTCACACAGTCCCAGTTTCTAGCTTGAAATGGATTAATCCATTTAAATCTTGAGTTAATCATGACTACTCAATGCATCCATATGCAGACAAAATTTGCTATTTCTTTTGTGAGAAAAACTCTATAAAATGGCAAACATATTCTAAAAGGAATACACAATCTCCAATCAACAAGAAATCAAGACATTTAACTGTAGTATTTTAATAATACAGAGTTGAACTATTCTATATATAAAATGGCTAACCATTCCAAATAAAATATAAATGGACTCATTTACAGATAGGCTAATACCACAACACTGCTAGTAGTTAATAACAGAAACACGGTTACTAAAACCAGCTAATTTGAGGTTAGCAGGTAACTCTCTCTTTTCTGTTGGTTGTCCTTATATATCATCAGTCTACATTTTTACAAGTCATTGTGGATTGTATGAGCCACAAAAGTATGGTACTGGAAGCAGTAGAACTAACAAGACCTACCCTGACATCAAGAAATTCAGTTTGTGGAAAGAACTAAAAAAGAAATAATAAGGGGAGTATCTGTAGAACAAAACCTTAACAGTTAACCAATGTTTCTTCATGTGCTGCTGAACTACAATTCCTTGCAGTCTTTAATGTTCTCAATGCTGGCTTGGGGCTGAAGGGTATCCTAGTGCAAGAATATCTGAAGAGTTACAGTAAAACAGGAGATGAGAGTAGAAAGGCCATGGAGATCAAGTAAAACTAAATAAATACTATTGATTGCTTTAGTGGTTTAAGGAAGTCATTAGTTTCCTGAAAATGGTGTGTCGTGTATGTGTGTGTGTTTGTGTGTGTGTGTATGAGAGAGAGAGAGAGAGACAGAGAGAAAGAGAGAAAGATGGACACAGAGAGAAAGAGGGACAAAGACAGAGAGAGAGGGAGACAGGGAGAGAGAGAGAGAGAGAGAGAGAAAGACACAGAGAGAGAGACATAGAGAAGAGGGACAGAAAGAGGGACAAAGACACACACACACACACACAGAGAGAGAGACAGACAGACAGACACACACACACACACACACAAAATGTTTTTCTCCTTCATTGGAATTCTAAATGAAATCCATCTGTCTATCTATTGGTGAGGGGGGATTGCACTTGCTTGTCATTGAAACACTAAAATAAGCAGTGAAATATTTATGATAAATTCTAATAGTTTTAAAGTATTGGTCAATTTAGGAATGGTGTCCTTTCTATTTTTAGGTAAATGGTGTCCAGCTCTATGGGAAATCCCGCCGTGAAGCTGTTTCTTTTCTGAAAGAGGTTCCTCCTCCATTTACTCTGATTTGTTGTCGCCGTTTGTTTGATGATGATACGGATTCTTTTGTGGATGAGCCTACAGCCACAATTGCTCATTCTCTAGAGCCAAAGGTATTTGGAAAAAAAACCCCAATCCTATGGCATGTTTCCAAGGATTTCCCAAAGATTATTAATTGATTCTGCTACTGCTTTCGGTATTGGTTACTTTGCATTTAATTTTCATTATGAATAATGAATGTGAATAATTCATAAACCATTTTCCTACTGCTCAGAATGGCATGTTTTTTTAAAAAAAGTAAAATTCTTAGCCACATTACGATGGAAAATGCTCTGCTTCATCTGCCTTTTAATTTTTTTTTATTATGGGCATGTGCATTAGCATATTGCTTTCTTTGCTTTAAATGGTTCATGAAAAGTTATTATCTCTGAAACTACTAGGGGTGTAGCAGTGGAAGCTTTGCTGCTACCTTGTAAATGATTAAATTCTATCTTTTATTATCATATTTAGTGAAATATTGTAACACAGTACTTTAATAAACAGTATTGGAGTGGGAAATATTGAGCAGTATTATATTACAGCAGACAATGCTCAAAATTTATGATGCTTCATCCATGATAGATAACATTGGATCTTGGATATCAGGTTGTTGAATAACACTCCACAATCTAGAGCCATATATCCAAATCTTTAGTCCTTCTGACTTGTGATTTATCTGTGCAGTTTACACATCATCCGTTCTGTTATTTAAAGAAGCTGAAGGAAAAGCCAAAGTACAGATAGTCACTTCACTTACAACTGTTCGTTTAGTGACCATTCAAAGTTAAAACGGCACTGAACAAAGTGACTTATGACAATTTTTCATACTCCGGACCGTTGCAGCATCCCCATGAAAAATTCATCAAAATTCAGATGCTTGGCAACTGGTTCATATTTATGATGATTGCCATGTCCCATGGTCACCTTCCCCTTTTGTGGCTTTCTGACAAGCAAAGTCCAATGGAGAAGCCAGATTCACTTAACAACTGTGTTACTAACTTAACAACTGCAATGATTCACTTTACATATATGGCAAGAAAAATCATAAAATGGAGCAAAACTCATTTAACAAATTTCTCACTTAGCAATATAAATCCTGGGCTCAATTGTGATCGTAAGTCAAGGACTACCTGTAGTTACGATCTGATTTCCATATTAATTCTTGTAAAACAATCTCGTTAAAGGATATTCCAGAATTAGGTTTGAAGATGTCTGCTATATCTAGTGTACGCTATATTTGAATAATAATTTCCAGATGTTTAAGAGACTACTTCTAGAAGGAATAATCAACCATCTTCTATTCCAGCTGTGGGCATTGTTCTCATATATTCCATCAAAAACTAATAAAATTTAAAATATTTTCATGTGTAGGACAATAATGATTAACTTCTGTTTTTCAGTGTTCCCAAATGGGAGCTTTTTAAAATGAAACATTTTTTTTAAAAATAGTCTTTATTGGTTATACATTTTTTAAAGAATAAGACATACAAATACAAATACAATTTTAAACATACAACCCAACCCCCCCGCCCCCCCGTGGTGACAGTCATTCACAGCCCAACTTTTCTTTTCCTTCCTCATTGTTTAGTCTCTAAGCAGCATCTTCTCGTTA